ACACACACACACACACACACACACACTCAGGTCAGATGGCTTTAATCTTCTTAGAGCAGCAGATGTGCAGACTTTGTCACATCTGCATTGTCTGAAAAGTGTCAGGTAATCTGTCAATCACAAAATGTCTTTCTGTGATTGGCCGACCTCTCTGACTCTCTGCGGTCAGGCTCCGCCCAGCCGGCTCCTCAGCACGATCACAACCAACAGAGTCGGGTCAGACTGAGCGCCTGTCGGTCAACATCCACATACATCCTCCTGCTGTTCATCTGTGCTGCACTGTGTTTGTTTAACCTTTGACCCCTCACCATGCTATTGTTCAGCAGGCCGAGGCCGCCCCGCCCTCCTCCTCCATAATCCCTGTGATCCCAATCTCGCCAATCCCAGCCGAGACCACCATCATCCCTCCAACGTCACAGGTTTTTTTGTTTTCTGTTTTTATTTTCCTCCACTTGTCTTTCTCTGTGCTCCCTCCATCTGTAGATCTGTCTCTTCTCGTGTTCGGCTGCTCGTCTTTCTGCCGCCGCCACCGTGGCGGCTGCACAGAGTTCAGCTCCGTGTCTACCGTCCAGCTGTGCCTCTGATGAAGTGAGCAGATTAGAGATAGAAACAGCGGGAGAAATGCCACACTTCCCCCATTTGACTTTTGAGAGCCCATCTGGCTCCTCCCGGGCAGAGAGTGAGCGAGCAACCGAGGCAGACAGAAACCGAGCGAGCGAGGGAGTGAGCGAGGGAGTGAGTGATTTTAGGAGATTTTAGAAGAAGAAGTGACGGAGCAGTCTCTCCATCCTGCAGGATTAGTTGGAATTGATCTTAGGCTTCATGCTTCAGCACTGCATCTTCTGCAGTGTGAAATGCCGCCACGTACGTACAAGTCTGTAGCATCATGAGGAGAGCGGGTGTGTTGTTGGTGCACAGCGGACAGTCTGCGTTCAGTGTGTGTGGGTGGAGCTCAGGGTTTGTGCATGGATGTTGATGGGGGGGTTTCTAGAGTGAAGACGTTTTGTGACGCTGTGATGTCTCTTCTCTCCTCAGGCCAATCCTCCGCCTGTGGTGGTGAACACGGACAGCCTGGACACGCCTCCTTACGTGAGTTCAACATGTTCACCTGCTCCGGCACTAAACTGACATCAGGTGTTCGTTTGACATTAAAATCGGGGGGTGATCCCTGCAGAATCCCTGTCGCCAGTTATTCTCACGCTGGTTCACATGTGAGCAACAACGTGGATTTTAAATAACTCGAGTGAAGGTTAGAGACGTGGTGTCCTCCCTGCGACTGTCTTTGCTCTGCTGATGGGGAAATGAATCAGCTGTGGATTTATCAAAGTGTCCTGTCTGGTAATTGACTGATAAATCTTGTGTGTCTAGGTGAACGGGACGGAGGCTGATTATGAGTACGAGGAGATCACGCTGGAGAGGGTAAGGCGACAAGCAGCCGTCCTTTTTATTTCTCTGTGAATCACGGCCGTGTTGTTAGAGGATGGACCCTCTGTAACTCTGACACGTCTTTACGAGACACATAAACGAGCCGCAGTCCGTAACTCAGCGTTTGCCCAGCACAAAGAAATGAGCCGCTCCTGGCAGCACTCTGTTAATTTGACTTTGACACACGACTTTTATGGACTTTTACTTTGGCACTTTTAAACTCTGAGGACCAACTGTCGTCTTCACAAAACCTACAGGACTCCAGTTTTAATTCTTTAAAGTTTAAAGTCCAGAGTTTCTAGAAGAGGCCGTAGCAAACCAAGTCTGCCTGAGTGTGTGTGTGTTTTTAACACAGCTGGGTTTTAATCCTGAACTCTGCCTGTGCTGGAGGATTGTTTCGTCTGTTTCTTCAAGTGTAAATCAATCTGTCTCTGGCAGCTGAGGAGAAAAGGCTTAATTAATAAAATCTAATGTAGATGGTTTGAGTAGATTAACATCAGTAGAAGATTTAACCATAAAAACTGTTGATAATATACTGAAATGTTTAGTGTTGTAGTAGTGGTTGTTAGGTTTAACATCGGGTTTCTAAAGTAAGTTTAGTTATCCCTCTGCAGTGGAAATGGACCTCCACTGACATTGTTATATTCTGTGATGTTATTTTCAGAAGAAGCTAAAATGTTGTTCGTCAATAAACCTCAATAAATGATAAAAGCACTGAAACTATGTTAGAAATAAAAAAATACATTCAATTTAAACATATTGAGCCTAAAGATTTCTAAATGCAGAAACATTCATTCCATAAATCTTAACTCTCCAGAAGTTATTCGAACTCTTTTTGTTTTTAGTTGAGTTTTAGCATCAACACGTTTTTAACAACACGTCATCACAAGCTACACGATGAAGAGGTAGAAGACGGAGACGACATGAAACACTATTCATGACTAATTATGGAACCAACACTTTGTTAGTGGTGAGAAAAATATAGAACAACATCAGACTGATCCACAATCTATCGTCTGTGGTTTCCAGGGAAACTCGGGGCTGGGCTTTAGCATCGCTGGCGGCACAGACAACCCCCACATCGGTGAAGACCCCAGCATCTTCATCACCAAAGTTATACCTGGAGGAGCCGCCGCCCAGGACGGACGGCTCAGGTGGGAAAACACACACACACACACACTGCGTTTCAGCTTATAGACTATACACAGACGATCAGTGTATATAAGAAGAAGCTTCTGTCAGGGAGCAGCTGGTGAACATAGCGCAGCGTGTAGCAGCTGAAGAGGAGGCGGTGGAGACCAAACACAGAGATAACAGTCTGGAGACACTGGTCTCAGGTTCATCAGGCCACAGAAGAATTCATGTCAGTGTTGAGTTCACTGGAGAAAATCGTCCGAACCAACGGTTTACTTTTAGAAGCTGGTGTCTATTACCCAAAATCCCCTGCTGTGCCACGCTGCCTTTCACTGGTTCATCCATAATGCATCTGCTGGAGTCACACACCTGATCCAGGTGGTGGTGGTTGGCGGGGGGGGGGGGGGGGGGGGGCTGTGGACTCTCAGGTTGCTTTAAAAGTGAAGCTCACGTGTCCGTCTGAACGTTCAGGTCGAGAGTCTGAGAGAAAAACACGTAATATCACCACTGGACAGTCCCGACTCTCTCTGGCTCCGCTGAGCGTTTCATGTTTTTCACTGCTCGTAACAGAATGTAATGACATCATCACATGTACGATATGAAGAGGTAGAAGACGGAGGAATTGACTATGTGCTGCAAAAGAATGAACGTTCTGAATATTGAGGTTTTCATTTTAGATCCATTTAAACAGGATCATGAAAACTATTTTCCACAGACAGGTTTGGGGCCACCAGCAGGGGGGGCTGTTTTCAGAGGGTCAGAGCAGTAACTGATGACTTAAAGGTTAAAGGTTAAAGGTTCATCAGTAAGATTCAGCGAAAGGATCTATTGTTAGAAACTGAACATGAAATAATCCTACTCATGATTTCACCTGTTTCATCTAAACTGTACGACTGGTTTTCTTTACCCTAGAATCTAAATACGTCATGTTTACATTCTTTATATTTACATACTAGACTTTCAGCGATTGACAGCGTGTGTGTGTTTCAGGGTTAATGACGTCATCCTGAGAGTTAACGAGGCGGATGTTCGAGATGTGACCCACAGCCGAGCAGTGGAGGCCCTGAAGGAGGCCGGTTCTCTGGTCCGACTCTACGTCCGCCGGAGGAAACCTGTCTCTGAGAAGGTGATGGAGCTAAAACTGGTGAAAGGACCCAAAGGTAACAGACGCTGCACCGTGTGATCACTTTGAATTCTCAGTCAGACAAGTCCGTCCCCTCACCCGCTGTCCTCCTGGTCCTGGCCTGTTGCAGGTCTCGGCTTCAGCATAGCGGGCGGAGTGGGGAACCAGCACATCCCCGGTGACAACAGCATCTACGTCACCAAGATCATCGAAGGTGGAGCCGCACATAAAGATGGGCGGCTGCAGATCGGAGACAAACTACTGGCTGTAAGCACTCTCACCTTCAGGGGTTCTGACTTGAGTTTAATTTCATCCTGAGCCCTTGTATCTCCACACCAGCGACACCCAGTGGCAGGAGGCGTTAAGTTCTCAGGTTGTCCGTCGGTCGTATTCTTGTGAACACGATATCTCAAGAACATCCAGAGGGAAGTTCTTTACATTAGTTTATTTAAACTCAGAGGTTTTTAGAGGTCAAGGGTCAAAATATGGAGGAAACATTAAAAAAATAGTTCTTCAATAAAATTCAGCAGCTTCACAAAAAACATTCTTGTGTTTCCACTTTATTCATCATTAGTGATTCACTGAATGTGAGAAAAGTATTTCCATCTACTTCCAATGGATCATACGAACTTCACAGTGAAGCTGGTGATGAGTTTTCCTTTACCGTGAGATGCGTTTTATATTTTCTAGATATTAACCGTCTCCTTCTTTCAGGTGAACAGTGCTTGCCTGGAGGAGGTGAGCCACGAACACGCCGTCACTGCCTTGAAAAACACTCCTGACGTGGTCTACCTGAAAGTGGCTAAACCCAACAGTGTCTTCATGAACGACAGCTTCGCTCCGCCCGACCTCACCAACTGTGAGTGAACACTTTCCTGTCCCCGACCAATGTTTACTCAAAACCTATTTTCTCAGCTTCTGAAGATAAAATATTTCCCTAACCCTCCCCGCCTCCCCTCCTCCCCTCCTCCCCCACCGTCGTGTACAATGTGCAAACGTTTCATCTGGCTCCTAAGGGAGAAGCACTTAGACATTGAACTCGGTCTTAAAGGTATAAATGTATATGTAAATGTGGGGGGGGGTCGTCCTGTAGCCACCATGTTGGCGTGACGATTTCGTCTTCACCACGTCACCTTGAAGTTGTCAACCATCGGTCCCCTCAGACGCCATGTTGTCACAGATCCTGCTTCTTTAAAGACGCCACCGAGCTTCAGCCCCTGCACGTTCCCACAGACCCCTCCTCTTCTCACGCGTGAAGGACGAGCAGCAAATCCAATCAGCAACGTTGAGCTGCATCACAAGCTTCAGCTGCTGTCGCTGTGACCGAGCTAACGAGCGGCGCTGCAGTACCGGGGGTGGGGGGGGGTGACAAAGATCTGAACCAGATCTGACGAAAGAGAAATAATTCTGCTCGCTGTGACTCGACCACAGCAGCCGCAGGGACACAAAAACAGACTAGAGGCCGACGTTCCCATCATCCTCTGCTCCAGTTTTCACATCCACCAATTACACAGATCAGATCATGAGAGATGACATCACATTATCTGTCATGGTGGAGTTTCCTGTTTTGATGACATCAGCCACTTCAGAAGATAAAAACGTACAGTTATTGAGTAAAAACCTCGACAAGGTTAAATACAAGTTAAATACAAGTTAAATACACTGTGATTGATTTTATATTGTGTGTGTGTGTTCCTGAAGCTTTAACCCTGTGTGTGTGT